CTTCGTGAGCCCAGCAGGTGACAGGGTTTCTCTATAGACACGGGGGTGGGGGTGCGGGGAGAGGGTGCAGGGAGGGACAGGAAGGCATGGGGGCTGCGATAGGAACCCCGTGGGGACGACTGACTTTTTTAGGACGCATTTTCCACCTCCTCTGCCGGAGGTCACCTTGTCGGTCAGTCTCAGGCGGGGCCCAAAGTTAATCATGGATTTGGCACGTAGAAACTTACAAAGAATTGGAACAGGAGTTCTTTCCGAATTAGCACGTTGCTCTGGGCCTTCCAAATGCTTGGCACTTCGCTCCAGGCTTCGGGGTTCTCTGCAGCAACCCCAAGCCCGCCTGACCCGTCTCTGCTCTTTGTAATCCTGCCCATCCTTCAAGGGCTGATAAATGGAGCCAAAATTTAAACAGTAAGAATTCAATACTGAGAATGCTGCATGCCAGGCCCAGCCCCGGCGAAGTGGGGGTTGACTCCCTTCTTACAGGTGAAAATACTGAGGCACAAAGAGATTAATGGCCCAGGGTCACCAGATACTAAGGGATGGTCCCAGTGTCCAAATCCTACACCCGTCTTCTTTCCTCTGGGTACCGGTGGTTCTCAAAGTGTGGTCCCTGAAGCAGCAGCAACTTGGGGGCTTGTTGGAAATGCAGATTCTCAGATTCCACCCCAGACCTGCTGACTCAGAAACTTGGGGTGGAGCCCAGCAATGTGCGCTTCAACAAGCCCTCAGGGGGTTCTGAGGCACTGCAAATGTGAGGGCCCTTGGTCTGCACCACACTGCCAGATTACTCGTGGTGGACGCTGCCGGCGTTTACTGTCTCAGATCTGCGCTGGGCCCTTTCCATCACTGAATTCTGTTGGCCACACCTATTTTACAGATGAGACAGACGAGGCTCAGAACAGCTCACTACTTTGCCCAGGATCATCCCGCCATTAATATTAGTCAGTATTTGAACCTAGCCAGGCTCTGGGGCCTGAGTCCTTAACCACTACCACGTGTGGTCCCTGGAGGGGCAGGTGGAGGAGACCCCCAGAGGTGGACACTGGTCTGAAGGATGCAGAGGTGATCCATCCAGAGCGCCCCCCTGAGCAGCAAATAAATCAGAGCCTGTGTTTGGCACCAGCACCTGGCACACTCCAGTGCCTGGAGCTGCCCGCCGTGCGTCTGTGTACAGGGTCTGATGCGTCCATCCTTAGATCCTCTTCGTGCTTCACTCAGACGTTTACTGAGCCTTTCTTGGTTTTGCAGAACCTTAGGCTTTGCGGTGGAGCTGGAATCCAGAGGGGAGGCCTAGATGCAGGTAAGTGCAAATGACTCAATTAATCGTCAAGCAAAACATCAACATTCCACACAATGGTGTGTGTGAGTTTAGTAAGTCCCCCTGAATTACACGTCTGCGAGAAGGCGAGAATTACTTCCTTGGAGTTTCAGGCCCTGGGAGTAAGAAGCAGTAAGTTGTGCCCACAGTCCCTGGCAAGAGTCCAGGCGCGTAGACCTCATCGGTAGAGCGTATCTGACCCAGGGATGGGAAAAGGGAAGGTGGTGAATTTCCCACCCCACCCAGCCGAGCCGGGAGCCTGCCAGGATCCTCTGTGTGTTCGGCTCCGATCGTGAGCTGGGCATCTACCATACAGTAGAGATCCCCGCCTTCCCCACGTCCACATCCCCTAATCCCCTCCAGTGACAGGCTTAGCAGAGAATCAAGTGCATAAAGGGAAAGCATATAGGAGATAAAAAGACCTTTTCAGTCCCACCCTGTAGATAAGCTTCATGGGAACAAGGACTTTGCCTTGTTCACTGCGTATCCCAGAGCCTGGCACCCAGCCTGGAGTGCTGAGTGAGTGAACTGGGACGTTCGTTCAGAAGGGGCTGGGGAGGCAGGACCACCATGAGCTGTGCTCCATGGGCCTCTTACGTGGAGCCCTCTGGGGGTGCAGGAGATGACTGTCTTTCCTGGGCACTTCCACTCCTGGTGTGGCCCTCAGTACAGCACACAGTTTGTGCCTGCATGCATTTGTGTCCTGGGGGTTGGCATGCCGGGGGCCTGTGTAGACAGGCAGGCTGCAGAGGAAGGATGCTGTTCTGACCTGGAGAGGCCCCAGGGCCGCTCCAGGGCAGGTGAGATCAAGATAGTGAGGTGTCCCCGGGGACACTGGGTCCCAGGGATCAGAGCCAGGATGTAGATAGCCCTCAAGGTCGGCCAGCCCTGAGACAGATGGCCCCTGCTAGCTTCAGCCAGTCCCAGGAGGCCTCGGCCAGAGCCCGCCGGCCAGAATTGCTGCCGCCCCAGCCCTGGGGGTCACTGGCTCCCCCGCCAGGCCCAGCAGATCCCGCCGGGCTCTCCCTTCCAGCTTTGGGATTCCAGCCCCCACTCCTGAACCCTAAGTAGCGGCTCTGGTGTTGTGTGTGGGCCGGGGTCTGGGGAGGGAAGGTTAGGGAGCGGGTGGCTCCGAGCTTGGAGTCAAGGGATCTGAACCCAGCAGCTGCCGTTTCTTCCCTCGGTGACCGCGGGCAGCTCACGTGCCCCCGCTGCTTCTCACCTCCCCTTTGTCAAAACGAGAGGATGCCAGCCCCCTCCCTCGTCGCGAGGAGCTGGTGTGTGGTCTGGTCTATACATGCTAAAGGGAGGGAGGAGCCGCTGCCAGACTCTGCCAAACCCTCCTCTAAAGCGCCGAGAAGGCCCCAGGACTGTTCTAACCTGAACCGCTAGGCGTCCTCTGGAACCAGACCCCCTGTGGATGCGGAACATGCCTCTCTTTCGACAGCTGCGTTTACCCAGCACTTACCATGTTCCAGGCACTCCTAAGTGTGTTTGTGCCTGATCTTACTTCTAGGCACCTTAAGAAAGGACATGTAGGTTTAGAGAGGTAGAGTAACTGGCCTGAGGTCACACAGCTAGACAGGGGAGTCAAGATTTGAACCCGGGTCTGCGTGAGTCCAGAGCTCCAGCCCTTAACCGCTGTTCTGCAGGCCTCTGGTCAGCTCCTGTTCCTTTGCCACCTTCGTGGAAGGCCAGGGCTCTGAGGAAATCCTTCCTCTCGTGCCTAACACAGCATCTGGCCAGTAATGTGTGCTCAGGAAGGAAGGAAGGAGGGAGAGAGGGAAGGGAGGGAGGAGGTGGGCAGGCAGGCTGGTCCAGTCCTCAGCCTGGGGCCCCGACCCAGGCTGGAGGCACTTTCTGCCACCCAGGGCCGTGCCCCGGGCAGCCAGGCAGCTGCTGGGTTACGGCTGTGCCCTCACTCCTTTTTCTAAAAATGCAAAGAGAAGAGCCCTCCAAGGCCACCAAACAGATGTCCAGTTGCTCCCTGGGGTCAGTCCTGTGCAGCCCGGTCCCGCCACCTGGCAGCCGCTTCCTCCGGGCCCCTGCCTGACAGCTGACCGCCGCCACCCTGTGACTGTTTACTGCAAGGCAAAGTCCAGTTTTATGGAGGTGGGAACTCATCCCAGCCTGGCCCGGCCCCGCCCGTGCTGAACTGTGGGACACCCGGGCAGTTTCGGGGTCCTTTCCCCGAAGTCCAGTCCCAGCAAACCCTTCCTTGCCAGGGCTTCCTTCCCACAGCCACCAGTCCCGTCAGCGCCCTTGGAATTTGAGCAGCAGTGGGGTTCAGGGACATGTACCCTGGCCCCGCAGTAAGGGCGCCCAGAGTCAGGCCCCAGCACTGCCCTCAGCAGCTGTGTGACCTGCGACCTCTGTTGCCCGCCTATAAACATGGGGGTAATGAGATTACAAAGCAGTGACCGTGTTTTCCTGCTTTGAAAGATACATATTATGGGGGGAGGGTGTCGCTCGGTGGTTAGTGTGCATGGGGTCATGGGTTCAATCCCCAGTCCCTCCATTAAAAAGAATTAGTGTGATTTTCCTTCACTAATTGCAGGAATAAACACAGACAGGGCACGTGCAGTGGAGCGTCTGGGGGAGTTAACACTGTTTCCTGCGTGATACCAGAAAGAAAAAAGGCTGGTGAGAATATGGATTATGTGCGTAGGTAAATCCAATGAGATACAGACTGAAATGTTGGCAGCGTCATCTCTGGGCCCTAGGAGTTGAGGTGTCCTTATTCCTTTGGCTTTGTCTGTATTTCCTGATTTTCCCTCAAGGAGTTTACGAGGGAAAGAGAGAATGTCAGCATAGCAACCCCACAGTTAGTATTCGAGTATTTGTCTTGACAGTTGAGAAGAAAGCTCGTGACAGCGGCTTGCAGACTGCAGGGCTTTGCAGGTGTCCGGCGTCTTGATAGGGTTTCCCGCAGCGCAGTTCGGACCTGGAACCGCAGGGGTGGGGAGGAAGCCTGCAAATCAGCTCTGCCGCCCTGGACCTCATCCCTCCCGCCTCGCCAGTAGGACAGGCTTGGAAGGCCCGTCCGCGGGCTGCCGTGGCTGGGGCCCGGGCAGGGCCCTGCGGTGTAAGGCCCCGGCTGCTCCGTGCGTGAGTCAGCAGCCTGGATGGAGCGCCCCCTGTGTGCGCCACTCTGCGCTCTGTTCGGGGACGATAGCTCTGTTTGCTTTCCAGTCGGTCATCAGACTTTCATCGAGCACCGTCTTTTTTGAGGAGGTCAGAGTGCAGAGGGCACGGCTGGAGGTGACCAGTCAGGCGGGGAGTTGGGAAGAGTTACAGAAGGGGTGGGTGCCACGTGAGAGAGGCAGATGGGGTGGGAAGGCGGCCGTCTGGAGAAGGACGTGTGGATTTTAATGCTGCCTCAGCTGGATCTTGAAGGACAGGAAGAATCCGTCAGAATTAAGGTCCAGAGTCTCTGCCTTGGGAAGCAGCACCCTAGTGGGAGAGACTGCTGAAAGGGTCCCAAGTGGGAGTTCATGTGGCCACAGTGATTTGCAGGGCTCAGAACAAGATGAGCCTGAGGGCCAAAATGCATTCAGAACGTCAAGGTGGTCATGGAGGGCGTGAAACCCAGCCGGGCCTTTCCCACTGCGGGCCTCTCTGAGCAGGCCCTTGAAGCCAGCCCTGCCTGCTGGTAAGTGCAGGGGAAGGGACTAAGGATCCTGTGTTGCCAAGAGGGCCACAGTGACTGCTTCGCTGCGCCTCATCTCGGGTTAAGGTTGGCCTCGGGAGGTGAGCAAGCCTGGCCAGATCTGGTTCTGCACTCGGCTCTTCCTGGTGGTGGCCAGTGGAGTATTCCGCGTCTCTTAAATAATGATGCCAAAAAGGCCAGAGGTTCTTGGCTCCTTTCCCAAGTGCCAGGACCGGGAGCAGCTGAGAACGCAAACTCAGACGCTCCAGTGCTGGCAATGGCAGGAAATGCTGCTCACGGGAAGTGCCCGCCTTGCTTACAGGCGTTTAGCCTCAAACCGTGCACACTTCTGTCTGCCCGCAGGGCATCAGTTTTAGTACCCAACCCTCTCATTTGGCTAATGAGGAAACTGAGAAGAGACGGCAAGGGACGTCCCAGGTCACGCAGCTAGCCAGTGCTGAAGCCAGAACCCAGGTTTCCCAGCTCCCAGCGAGCGCCTCTCCCTGATAAAGCCCTCTGCACTGGGCTGTGGGGACGGGGGTGGGGCTGCCCTGTGCCGTGGCCTCCAGACCTCCAGAGCCCTGCTGGCCTGAGAAGGCCGCTGCCACCCACTGGAGGACGCTGCTCCCTGGGCTGTGGGAGAGCCACTGGATCTCAGGAAGATGCTCGCTGCCCTGCTTCTCCGCCTTCAGCCCTGAATCGGAGCAGATGGTGGGCTCACTGGGATGGAGAGGGGTCCACACCCTTGTCTGGGAAAAACAAGGCCGAAGGGAAGCAGCAGGAGCCTGGGGGCGACTGCTAATCCTGCTACTAACAACCTCTCGGGCAGAGGCTCCGTGCTTCCCGTGGGGTGTTTTTGTCAGGGTTGGAGGGGGTCGGAGTAGAGTTCTCATCGGGGTTAACAACAAGATTAGGAGAGCCAGGATTCAAAACGCAGGGAAGCAGGATGGGTGGTCTGGGTCCCCGGGAAGCTGTCCCGCTTCCGAAAGCAGCCTCAGGGACCCCAGGGAAGGCAGAGAGGGGCGAACCCACAGTGAAGCCTCTGAGGCAGGGGCAGTCCCACACCAACTAGCGGCAGAAAGTGCCTAAGGATTTTGGATGTTTGCGTTCGGACAGAATGTTTGCACACGTGTGATCGGGTAGAATTTGCACCGCTGCCCAAGGACGGAGGCTGAGGCTGCATTTTAAGGATGAGCAAAGTGAGGCAGAAGAGTGATGTCACTTCCTTTAGACGTCTGACCCGCTGAGTCCTGGGACAGGACAAGAAGCCAGGTTTTCCTGTCTTCTTCCAAGGCTCTGGCTCTGGCCTCCGCCCCACCTCCTTCCAGCCGCA